CACTGATTCGCAGGTGCTAAGTGGGGGCCGTCCTTGGCTCTGGTGCTCTCATAATTGCTATTGTTTCTTGGTAAGCCTAAAGCGATCCATACAGCCCGGAAAGACTGTGCTCTCTTGTACTCTTCAGAACCACCTAGAAACTTGTTTAACATTCAAATATCAGGTGCCACATCAGATTGAATCAGAAACCCTGGGGGCAGGTCTCTATGATCTGTGTTTGAACAAGTCCTCCAGGTGCTTGGATGCTCACTGAAGTTTGAGAACCTCTTATCTAATGCAAAGAGCCATGTAGAAATCAGTGAAGGAGAACTTGTACAGTCGTCCCTTGGTACCTGCAGGGGACTGGTTCCAGGACTGCTGCTGACATCAATATCCGTGGATGTTCAAGTCCCTCATGTGAAATGGCCTAGTATGGTCGTTCCAAGTCTGTGAGTTCCACATCTCCAGACATGGAGGGTCAACTGTTACTCACTCTCTGTGAACAGTGACAAAGTCTGACAGGCCTGATGTTGGGGTGAGGTTATCCTGTGAGAGCAGGAATTCTTTTTTTCCTTCATACCAGAGGAAAAACTGCCACCTTTAATTAAGAGAAGTGGTTGTCAACTTGTAATTATTCAAAGGTAATTACAGAGTTTACGAATCACATAGGACATTTACTGCTTCCTAAAGTCCCCTCATTTAAAATTCTTCCATCCACCCCCTCCTTGCTTGCACCTTGGTTTAAAAACAACAGTGGTGTGTAAGAGGCTGAACAATGGTTTACTCATGCTACTAATTGTGTTAATGTTTTTAAAATGTAAACTTCCCCTGATTTCAAAATGGAACCAAGAAAAAGATCATGAAAAAATTTGCTTGATACTTTAACAAACCATTCCTTAGGCCATTGTAAACTTAATAAGTAAAAGCCAAATAAACCAGAAAGCTGCCCAGTATGACTGGCAAAACCCTGTTAGTTGCAAGGAGAAGGTAGACAGCCTAGAAGAATGAGGGCTCACAGCTTATCCTATGTCATCATCCTGCGGCTTGGACTGGTCACTTCCTATTTCTTCTGCCGCCTTCTGCCCTGCCCAGGGGCCTTGGTGAATGAGACCCAAGAGGGAGTTGCCCAGCAGACAGTGTGGGTGAAAGTGAGTTTCTCTCACCAAGTTTAGGCCTCATAAAACTCATCCTACCAGTGACACTTGTGATATCTTTTCCTCACCTCGCTATTTTTGGGTTTCTCAATTGAAGGGTGATGGTGAATAAGAAAAAAAATACACTCAAAGCTCATCTCAGAATTGGTATAATATTACATATGTCTGCCAGTGAAATCTGGGTGTGGCTTTTAAACTTTTTTTGTTTTTTAAACTAATGAAGTCAGATCTTTAATTAAGCAGAATCCTTAATTTAGTAGAATTCCTGCCCGGTAGGAGGCCTGTGCCTCAATTTTTGAATCCCAAAGCAGTAAGCCAGTGTTTGGAATTTCGTAAAATTGGGTTCTTCTCATTATTTTTGTAGCAGCTTTGATTATTTTGGAATAAAAATCTAGAAGTGTGCTAAAGCCTAACTGATGCTGAGATAAGGCCGAGCTGATCGATTTAGAAATACTTTAGTAATTTTAAAACCACTGTAGCTTTTCTTAAATGTGTGTGCAGTTGACAGGAAAATTAAGCAAGGACCCCGAGCAGCCTGATAGTTGAGATGCTACTGTTACACACTCTCGCTTTTCAGTCTGGGACTGAGAATTTTGCCATTTGGGGTGCCCTTTCGGGCAGAACTCTGCCTCTTAAAGCAGAGCCATAGGCCAGAACATTCAACAAGCAGTCAAGCTATAGAAACTCCATTGACATAACCAGCAGAAACAGACAAGGGAGAACTCCCTTTGTGGTGAGACTAGCAGAGCAGGCACCCTTGCAAAGCAGCTTTCCCTTCTGTGCATCCTGTGTGGGCTGTCTGTACCAGGTAGCTTTGGAAAAGAGAAGCTTGGGAGTTCAAGTTACTTAGAGGACAGTTGCATGCCCTACCCCTCCCTGTAAACAAAGTGGCTGTGAAGCAAGTTTGAAGGGAAAAAATTATTTCCTGATCAACCCTCTTTTTTGGCTCCCGTGGTTGGATGTTAATGTTATACATCATGTGTGTGTGTGTTTTGAGCCAACAAGAATTACCAAAATTGGGGCTTCCCTGGTGGTGCAGTAGTTAAGAATCCACCTGCCAATGCAGGGCATGCGTGTTCGAGCCCTGGTCCATGCTGCGGAGCAACTAAGCCCGTGCGCCACAGCTACTGAGCCTGCGCTCTAGAGCCTGCGAGCAACAACTACTGAGCCTGCGAGCCACAACTACTGAAGCCCACGTGCCTAGAGCCTGTGCTCCGCAACAAGAGAAGCCAGTGCAATGAGAAGCCCTTGTACCGCAATGAAGAGTAGCCCCCACTCGCCACAACTAGAGAAAGCCCACACGCAGAATGAAGACCCAACACAGCCAAAAATAAATAAATTAAAAAAAAAAGAATTACCAAAATCATAAAACAATTGAAAGGAATTCTTGAGTGATCAACAGGTCCATTGTGCTACTGTCAACCAGAAATAAGTCTGTGTGAAATGTGTGAGATTCAGACTTATTAAAGAAGACTTCATAAGCCAGTTTCTGTTTTAATTTTTCCTAAGTGTTTTTAGTATGTTGACTAACATAAATGTTCACTTTGCTGTTCTCTTAAAATCTGATATCAAGATACCCATCATCTAGGAAAAGTTTTTGCTATGGTGATCTAAGCAGATAATTCTTTACTACATCCCAGTGAATTCAACAGGGTAGCTTAGCCTCCTGCACACACACCCCCCTCCCCCCCTTCCCACAACCTGTAGATTGAAAGGCTATGGAAATAGCAGACACTGATTTTTTAGATGATTATAAGTTTTATAAGATTATAAAAACTGTTTTTGCATACCGTGTCTTTCAGAGTTAAATAATTACAGGTGATATACTGTAAGCATAGTGGCTGTTTTTAAATTAAAAAACATTTACTGTTTAGCTTCTATGCAAAGTACAATGCTTTAGCACCAGGAGGCAGAAAAATATGAGAGGTTCTATTATGATGGGCTTGACATTCAAGGTGAAAGGGGAGAAGGGGAGAGAACCAATCAGTATATTAAGTCAGGTGGATTTGAGAAAGCCTTTAGAGTGGGTGAAATTGGAATCACTCCCGATCTTCGCTGGTAGCTGAAAATTGGGGATAGGAGTATGTGGTTGAGAGAGACGGAGAGGAAATTCGTGTGATTACATCGAAGTCCAGGATATCACTGAGGAGCAGGGAGTGGTCTGGCGTGACTGAAATACAGAGGTGGTTTGAGGAAGTTTTGTAGGTAAACTGGTCCTGGAAGAATGGTTATCTTTCAGTAAAAGGGGGTTCTGGGGTGGGGGTGGGTTAGAGCAAGAGGCTGCCCTTTACTGGGTGTGTTTGGGGAATGGACATGACTGTTAGGTAGAATGCATATGGTAAACCTACAGGGAGACAGGAAGGTAATTTCTAGGGTAGTTCTATGCTAGATTATGGGGGAATTTTAATGCCAAAGCAAGGTTAGAGAGTTTATTCTGCAGTAGCAAAGAGCCATTGAATGCTGGTTATTTTAAAATACGGATGGTGACATGAGACCCAGAGCTTTAGATCGGATTTCTCTCCTTGAAAAGGCTAAATTAGAGGGACAAGATGTGGAGGCAGGGAGACCAGTAAGTAGGCTCTTGTCAGAGGAAGCCAGAGAAGTTCTGAGAGGGCCTAGATGCTGGGAAAGAGGTGGGGGAGCGTGTCTGACATCAGGGCTAGAATTTCTAAGGTACATAGAGCCTTGGAGAAACAGTTGAATATTTTCCGATTTATTCACATAATGTTGGGGGGAAAGATTCAGTAGATACTCTAAAGCAAGTCTATGAGGACAAAAGTCTTAATAGTTCTTATTTTCATTATTCTTACATATCACATGGCGGGGTTGGGAGGGCGTGGCCCGAGTTGCTGACCTAAGGCACGCCCACTTCTGGTTTGCATGCTAAAACTGCACTCTTTTGGGTTTCCAGCTTCCTGATTCCTTTGCCAGTAGATGCATTTTTAACCCCTTTGGTGCCGGGGCTGATGATTTAGGATACATTTTTATGTGGTTGAAGTAGTGCAATCAGATGACAGTCTCTCAGTAAGTAGAGCTGACATCTAAAATTGGATTTTCCCATCCTTGACATTTGAAATGAGAAATAAAAGTTATCTTTTCAGGTTTACATGCCAAGACTCTTCAAGTAGAGTAGGCTGAGAATAAAGTAAATGCTGTTTTGGGTGCCTGGTAATTTTTTTTTTTTTTTTTTTTTTTGCGGTACGCGGGCCTCTCACTGTTGTGGCCTCTCCCATTGCGGAGCACAGGCTCCGGACGCGCAGGCTCAGCGGCCATGGGTCACAGGCCCAGCCGCTCGGCGGCATGTGGGATCCTCCTGGACTGGGGCACGAACCCGTGTCCCCTGCATCGGCAGGCGGACTCTCAACTACTGCGCCACCAGGGAAGCCCCCTGGTAATCTTTTAATTATGAAATAAGCCTTTGGATTTTAATCTTCCAAAATATAAAATACTGATCCAGGAAAACAGCCTTTTTAAAGTTCACATCCTGCTGACTCCGTCAGATGAAAAGCATCCACCTCTACCCTGTATTTCGCAAGGCGAAAGTAAAAATATCATTAATCTTGTCTCAGTCCCACCACTGACTATAAAAGACTCTTCCATTTGGAGTCAGTCCTGAGCCATGAAGCCAGTAGCCCAGAGTGAATGCTTAGTTTTCCAGAACCAGGACCTGAAGCTAGAGGGGTCATGGCCAGCTGACTGTGGCCTTAATCTAGGCGTGGGATGAGGGACTTGGGCTTTCTTTAAACCAGCTCCCTTGTCGTTGAGGCTTCCTGAGCTGTCCTTGCCTCCCTCACACATGTACGTGTGCACAGCAAAGCTTGGATACTGATAAGCTTTGTTTTTGTTCTTTTGTGGCATCTGAAGCAGCTTGTACAATGAAGACAGAAACCTGCTTCGAATTAGAGAGAAGGAAAGACGCAACCAGGAAGCTCACCAAGAGAAAGAGGCATTTTCTGAAAAGATTCCCCTTTTTGGAGAGCCCTACAAGGTAATTTCTTTCTTTTTTTAAAAAATTTATTTATTTAATTTATTTTTGGCTACATTGGGTCTTCGTTGCTGCGCGGGCTTTCTCTAGTTGGGGCGAGCAGGGGCTACTCTTCGTTGCGGTGTGCAGGCTTCTCATTGCAGTGGCTTGTCTTGTTGCGGAGCATGGGCTCTAGGTGCGCAGGCTTCAGTAGTTGCAGCATGCAGGCTCAGTAGTTGTGGCGTGTGGGCTCTAGAGCGCAGGCTCAGTAGTTGTAGTGCACGGGCTTAGTTGCTTCCGCAGCATGTGGGATCTTCCCTGACCATGGCTGGAACCCATGTCCCCTGCGTTGGCAGGTGGATTCTTAACCACAGCACCACCAGGGAAGTCCTACAAGGTAATTTCTTGAATATGAGAAAGTCTGATTTATCACCATATTTGACTTCATGATGAAAGTGAGTTTGAACAAGGGTCACACTTGTGAAAATAAGACAACTTATCCTAGAGATCGTTTTTGAAAACAAAATATGAAAATCTTCTGAACCTCGGTAAGTCAAAATTACCAAAGTTTGTGGTTTCCTTTTGTAATGTTCGTCTCCTGTATTTAGTAATATTTGTCCACGGCAGGCTTCTCAGCAGGGGAATTGAGTCGAAATTGCATGTTAAATTCGGTGTTACACATTAAATTGAGGTGTTTCTTTTCTAATGGCATTATGTAACATGGTTTACTAAACAATGGTTTTCCTCCCCCTCTTTTTCCCCCTCAATATCTAACTCTGCTGTCTTTTCTTGTTTTAGACAGAAAAAGGTGATGAGCTATCCAGTCGAATACAGAACATGCTGGGAAACTATGAAGAGGTGAAGGAGTTCCTTAGTACCAAGTCCCACCCTCAACGCTTGGATGCTTCTGAAAATAGGTTGGGAAAGCCAAGATACCCATCATTTCCTGAGAAGGGGAGCAGCATTCCATCCCACTCCTTCCACACTAGTGTCCACCACCAGCCTATTAATACTCCTGCCTCTGGACCACTTCCTATTGGTACCATTAGCCACAACCCAAAGATGGCACAGCCAAGAATGGAACCAATGCCAAGTCTCCATGTCAAAAGCTATGGCCCACCGGACACCCAGCACATGACCCAAGATCGCCTTGGTCAGGAGGGGTACAGCTCTAGTCATCACAAAAAGGGTGATCGCAGGGGTGATGGAGACCACTGTGCTGCAATGACAGACTCAGCTCCAGAGAGGGAGCTTTCTCCTTTGTTCTCTTTGCCTTCCCCAGTCCCCCCTTTGTCACCTGTACATTCCAACCAGCAGACTCTTCCCAGGATGCAAGGAAGCAACAAGGTTCACAGCAGTAACAGTAACAATAAAGGCTACTGTCCGGCCAAGTCTCCCAAGGACCTACTGGTAAAGGTCCATGATAAAGAGACCCTTCAAGACAGTTCAGTTGCCAGCCTTGGGGTAGCCCCTCCCCAGCCACCTTCTCAGACTTTCCCCCCACCCCCTCTCCCCTCAAAAAGCCTTGCAATGCAGCAGAAGCCCACAGCTTATGTCCGGCCCATGGATGGTCAAGATCAGGCTCCTAGTGAGTCTCCTGAACTGAAACCACTGCCGGAGGACTACCGACAACAGAGTTTTGAAAAAACAGACTTAAAAGTGCCTGCCAAAGCCAAGCTCACTAAGCTGAAAATGCCTTCTCAGTCAGTCGAGGTGAGTGGAAGTTCATATCTGAGGCAATTCCAGTGTGAAGAAAGATTTGAGGTGGAAGTTTCAGGAGGTTTAGGGGCAGGGGTGTCAGTAGCCTTTGTTCAGGGAGATTCCTTTCTGGCTTTAGGATCTTGTTGACCCACAAGAAACTCAGGTCTGAAGTGAATTTACTGATGACAGATACTGAAATGTGATTCGTAGAAAGTTAAAAAAAAAATCTTTTTATTGAGCCATGATTTACATACAGTAAAATATAGAGATGGGAAGAGGATAGTTTGCTCTTTTGAAAAATGGATACACCTGAAAAATGGATACACCTATACAACCCACAACCCAATTGAGGCAGAGGACATTTCTAGCATGAGAGTTTCAGGAAGGTTTTGAGCTGTCTTTGATTTTTGGGGGCTTTGGGGAACACTGACTTCTTTAAAGACACTGTAAAGAAAAAAATTTTTTTTGGTTAATACTTCCTCTGCCCCAGTTAGTTTTTCCTGAGATCCAAACCATAAAAAAGTGAAAACAAGAGGTCAAAATGTTGGAGGAGTATTATTTTTTAAAGATTTGTCCCCTATAAATTATAAGAAACTGTGAAACTAAATTTCTGTTCTAATATATTTTATTTACCACCTACAAAAGAAGAGTGGAGGTGTGATGACATCTCATTTGAGAGAGTCACAAATATAATATAGAACGTTTTTCAACTATGGCTTTTTCAAGTAAACAACATACTTTATCTTTTTAAACAAAGGAAAAATTCCTTTTTCTGCTCCTTTGACAAATGGCAACGTGGTGTTTGAATGAGAAGAATCAGAGCACACATTCTATCACTGAAATTCTAAATTAACACCGGTTACTCAAATTCAGATTTGTAGTGCAAAGTGAAATGTTTGAAGTGAATTTATTTTAGCGCTTATCTGTTAAGGTAAAGTCTGTGATTGAGTTACATCCATTGTATAAACATTCTAATTTGCATATCCAGTCCTCAAAGACTTGTATGTACACCCAGATACCAGCTTTACATCAGTTTTACATAGTGCTAGAAGGCAAAATTCCTTAAGGTTTAAAAAAAGAAAGAAAAAAAATTTTCCAGGATCCATAGCTGGAAAGATAACCCTTATCTTGAAGGAGGAAAATCTGTTCCTTTGTGGTGTCAGCTTTTGGTTTAGAAGAGGTTAGGGTTCTGCCCATGGTCAGCTGTTGAGCTGGAGTGTCTCCAGATGTCCTCAGAATGTGACTGGTTTGGAGGCTGAGGAAAAATTAGAAAGGAGTAAAGCACGTGGTAGAAATGACCAAGATGGCAGAACAATTCCTGTAACCCCATAAGCTATGCAGATTCACTGCAGTGAGCCATTTATTGAACATTTTGTGCTCTGTTGGGCGGTAGGGGTAGGGAATAGAATGAAGGTGGAGAAGAATAAAGTGAGATCTTCCCACCTCCTATGGTCAGTCAGCCTACCTTATAATTCAGAAAGAACTTAATGGAATTTTCTTTATTTATCAAATAAGGTCTGTTATATTTTCCTAGTTTAAAAAGAAAAAAAAAGGTAAGGGGACAATTTAACATGTTTTCTTTAAAAAGAAAACTAAGCAACTAAAAATTGCTTTAAAACAATTCTAAGACCAGTTAGCAAATATTTGCATTGTCTACCAAATACCCAACCATATGTATAAGCACAGGGTGGGATGCCAAAGAAGTACTGGTCCCTGCCCCAGAGAGATGACAGTCTAGCATGGAGATCAGCCTACACATGTCTGCTACTAGGTGCATAGAGAAAGTTTCAAACATCAGCCTTAAGACAGTGAACCCATGTAAATTCAGCCAACAGGTTTTCTGGTAGACCTTTTAGGTTAGAGGATCCCGTTAACCTTTTGCTTTCCTGGTGAAAAAAAGATAAGGTGAGTTGAGATTTCTCCAGGGTCTTACAGCTCCTCAGATTTAATACATATTTCAAACATAGGACCACATTAGATAGTCCTTGCATATTTTCTGATTGGACAGTTGAACAAAATCATCCATAGATGTGGTAAGAGAATGGGGTTTTCTTGGCTTTTCTTGACCTGCTGTCAACAATTGAGTAGATGTAAACGTTTCATCTTCAGCCTGTGTTTGCAGTCAACCTTCATTTTAACATGATGGCTCCCTCTGGCCTCTAATCAGGGTTCTGAGGCCAGTGGCAGCTGTGGTACTAACTGCCTTGGAGCCCCTGGGTGGTGTTGGTGGCATGGGAGGATGGAGCTGAGGGGTCAGGCAGATGGAGGGCTCTGGGCAAAGAACTTGTAATGAAGGGGGAGTAAGTCTGGGAAACAGGGATATTGGTGCTTTCTGGCGAGCGTTTAGATTTGGTTTAGTAAGATCTCATGTTTCACAGACTTACCGTTAATTTTCTGTTTGTAGACCCAATAAAATGGCTATTTTTTTAAGGTTTTAAAAACATGTAGGGGCTTACCTCGTGGCTCAGTGGTTAAGAATCTGCCTGCCAATGCAGGGGACATGGGTTCGAGCCCTCGTCCGGGAAGATCCCACATGCCACGGAGCAACTAAGCCTGTGCACCACAACTACCGAGCCTGCGCTCCGCAACAAGAGAAGCCACCGCAACGAGAAGCCCGTGCACAGCAATGAAGACCCAATGCAGCCAAAAATAATAAAAGCATTTTTAAAAAACCATGTAGATTGGATTTTAAAACTCTCAAATTAAAAAAAAAAATTTATTTTTTTGGCTGTGTCGGGTCTTAGTTGTAGCACGCGGGATCTGTAGTTGTGGCATGCGGGCTCTTTATTAGTTGTCAGATTTTAATATTCTGGTGAGTCAAAGGAAAGCATAGAGGTGGGGGACAGCAAAAGTGGGGAATTAACCCCAGAGCAGGTAAATTCTGAATACAGAACCGGAATAGTAGCAGTATCTTGGGCTGCTTGTGGCATTGGGGCAGAAGGATAGAGAATGCCAGGGTGGAAGGGGAAGTTGGCTGTTGGTAGAGCCATGGGAAGGGGCATGGGGATAGCTAAGTGGTTTTCCTTTATTTGCTGAATTTGTCCTAAGGCAAGTCGGAGGAGGTTTTCTTTCCTGGCATTCTGAGTGTGTGGGTTTTGTGGTTTGTTTCATTGCTCCCCTCCCCCACTGCTTCCATCAAACAGTATTTTTAAAAAATGGACCAAAACGGGAAAGTCATCTTGTCTGTCTGGCACTCCTTTATTCTCAAGCCACATACATATGAGTTCCTTGCTATTTTCTGTCCTTTCACTTCATGGGAAACACTTGGTTTGTGTATTTTAGTTGATTCTCCTAAATAATGGTATTCCTTTCTGGGATAAGTGATGCTCACTGTTAACACTTAGTCTTTCCTAAAATCCTACAGGAAAAAAAATTATCAAAAGGTCAACATTCTGACTAAATAGAGGCTAGAGCACACAGTGTGCACTGGATTTTTCTTTGGGCATGTTGGTTTTAGTTTTGTGTCAACTGGAAGATGTGTAGCATCTTGAAATGACCCATCTGAGGATATAGCCAGGACTCCACGATCTCACATGGATGCCTTCCAGCTGTAGAGTTGCCACATCAGTTGCCGAACTGCCCAAACGGAAGGCTGAGATTCCTTTCTAGCTCTTTCTACTGGAAGTTAACAAATGAGAGTGAGAGGAAAACCAAGGCATCTCTGTGTGAGCGTTCCTGAGTGTGGACCCTGTACTGGAGTGGATGTGCTTAGAGGCAGATAGGCATTTTACTGAAAGGGAGAAATGGATTAAGTTGAGGTGGGCATATTAAATTGTATACTGGATTTAGAATATTAGAATTTTAAGGGTAAACCTACAGCCCTTTCATTTTGTAAATAAAGCCTAGGAAGGTGAGGTCACTTAATTTTGCTACAGTTTAGTTAGTAGCAGAGCCAGAGTTAGAATTCTCAGTTCTGTGATCTTTCTACCTCTGCTTGTTAAGTATGCATGGAGACCATAGGAGGATCTTGAGCATGGGAGTGATATATCTACTTTCTCTTTCTGAAAAAGATCATTCTGGCTCCTGGGTGGAGAATGGCTTGGAGGGGCAAGGGTGGCAGAAGTAGGGAGGCCATCTAGGGGGTGGGAAATGACGATGGCTTGGCATAGGATAATAGCAGTGGACATGGTGAGAAGTGGATAGATTCCAAATATATTGGGCAGGGGAATAATAGGGCTTTGTGATTGACTGGAGGTGGGAGTGGGCCTGAGGTGCGAGGGAAAGTAAGGCATTAAGGAAGGTCCTACTGGAAAGGTGTGGATGGTGGGATGATACCTGCTCCTGAGATGGAGCTGACCTGGGTGGAACAGGTTTAGAGGGAAACCCAGGATGCTCTGGATGGATCACATATTAAGTTTGAGATGCCGTTATATATCCAGGTAGACATGACAAGTTGGGAGTCATCGGTAGTAGATCAGCCGAGGGAAAATGATAAGTTTGGATGTTTGTGGCGGGGTAAGAATCACAGGAGTGGAGATAGACGAAATGGAGCCAGCATTCAGTTAGCACACAGCACGGATGAGTCAAGTCAGGAAAATAGGCAAGAGAGTAACAAACCACTCCAAGGAGAAGTCCGGGAAGGGGGTGTCTCAGCACAAGCAGTGGTCTCGGTCTAGCAACCATCTCGGTCTAGCAGTGGTCTCGGGACAAGCTTGAGTGGGAAGTAGCCCTCTGCTTGGACAGAGCCTCCAGCAGTGCCCACGTGGAACAGCTCTCAGCAGGGGGAAATTGGGTCCTCCAGGGAAGAACCTTCAGTTGCTCAGCTCAGTGAGCTCATTTTAAGGAGTTTATCAGTGGGTGTAATGGTCTTACTCTAAGACATTCACAGTCCTATGGTAGACTTTTCAAAACAACTAATACAGAAGTTCACATTGGCCACTGGGACTCCATTTTGAACTACTTAACATAGCTTAAATCCTGTAAGTTTAACACAAGATGAGTAGAAATCGTAACACAAAAGAAATCTCATCTTAATACTGGGAACAATAAATTTGGGCTGTGTTTCCCTATGG